TGAATAATTTTCCATGATAAAACTGTATTTTTGTGTTTTCACTTCTAAATTTTATTAAGAATATATATACATTATTACGAATCCAATGATCCATATGACATATTTTTATTCTTTTAATATTATTTTTTAAATTCAAATATATTATTTCATTAAAAAATTATGGATACCTCATAATCTACTCCTAAAAATCTTCATCCAAACTAAGATTTTTAAAAACTAGCATTTCAAAATGATACATTTCAAAATTTCTTTCTTTTTAAAAACTTTAAAATTTTAAAAACCTTCAATTTAGCTTTACTTGCAAAGCAATGCTGGAGGTTATTATTACACATTACACAATGAGGAATCACTTTGTTTCAAATTATGAAAAAAAAAGGCTCAAGATGGCGTATTGGGAGTGGTATTTCTGTCGAAGCTTTTGTTTTTAACTATATTTCTCAAATTTTATACCAGTAAGCATAGACGGAACTAGGGGGTGTGGGGTGAGGCAGCGGCCCCCCAAAGTTCCCAAAAGCCTTAAGTACCCTATGCAATTTTACTATTATAAATAAATTGAAATTCAAGTTCGCCCCTCCAATAGAATTAATAGATATAAAAGATTCATTTCTTTAGCTATTAATTAATTATAATTAAAGTTATATATGATTTTGGATAATTTACTTAAACGACTAATATTTTTAACATTATTACAATCATTCTTCATTCCAACTACATATATTACTTTTAAGTTACTTATTAACCAAAATCTACTTGTGATGTAGAGAAAAGATTTTGCTTATGAGCTTGCCCCAATTGCCTAAAACATAAATACATTATAACGCTATAACTTTATAAAGAAACTCTTTAAACTATAGATGTGCGTTTAGTTAGAGCTGAACAAAAGTAAGGTATATGATGAATGTTTAGTAAACAAAGATAAGTTATAACTTTCACCCCTCCAAACTAAAATTTCTAGTTCCGTCCTTGCCAGTAAGACATGGATGAGTACTTCCTAGGTGACAATACCAGCCAAATCTATTATACTCTATAGAACATTTAACATACATATATGGCAAGACTATTTTTCTATTTTAAGTTTTAATTTGGGAAGGAAAGATGAATATTTGAACCCTGTTCTTGGACTTTGAATGTTAAGTCAATTAAACTGGCGGAAGAAGTCATAAATGTGATTGTTAATCTCATCTGCCTTTTCCATGATGAAATACCCTGATGCGCCAAGGGCTTATCATGGACATTGATCGATCGTTTAACAATCATAAAAATAATCCCCACAAAAACTAGTTAGAATAGTTAGGGCAAGTAGGGGTCGAATCCCACAGAGAAGGGTAAAAATTTGTAAGAATATCCAAAGAATAAATTTTTTCCAACGAAATCACTTGGAAAACAGGGGATTAGAATTATCAATTGAAAAGAGAATAATTAAACTAAAAACAAAACAAAGTAAATTAAATCCAAATCTAAGGCAAATTATAAAGAAAACAATAATAAAAAAGCATACTTCTTCTCCAATGGTATGAATCAATCAAATTAACTATGGATCCTTGTTTTAAAAGGTGAATTTAGTATCTTATTCTTGATGACAACTGGTCTAGGAGAATCTCGCAAGACATCCTAACATGTATATTAGATAAGAGGTCGATCAAAGCTGCAGTTATCCATTTTATTCCTTCAGTGATCAATTACTTTTTCAGAGCCTAAAGACCACTTGAGAACAAAGCATTAAGAACAATTAATTTACACATATGCCTACAAGTAGAACCATACGACAGGCAATTTCTTGACAGCCGATAAACTGAATCCCATTAGGCAGCGGTCAAACAAACCTAATTTGCTACAAATAATCAAACTCGGAGGTCAAGTCTTATTTGATTTAGCTATAGATCTATCCAATTACGTCATTAGTGGCCATCCAAATCAATAACTATCAAGATCATAAAATAAAACAGGGACTTGCTTACTATCTATCAAGAACTTAACACCAAATTATAAGTATAGAAATCTCACAATAATCAATTGATTGAATTCACCAAAGGATAAGAAGTATTAAGAATTTAGCTACTCATGGATTTGGGAAAATCCATGAGAGGCATAAGAAAACTTACAAAACTAGAAGGAAAAATCCTCCCTTGATGGCACAAGGAATATCGCACCCCTCTTCAAGAAGAAGGGGTGTCGACACCCTTAAGAAAAACTAGAGAAAAACTAAAAGAAGAGAAATTATGAAGGTATCTAAAGATGTTGTGTAGGTGTGTGATTTGTGTTACAGGAGGTGGCTATTTATAGTGGATTAATTAGACTCCTCATAGACTTAGGAAAGGGCCTAGGATGGTTCTAGGTCTAACTTGGACTCCAAGTTGGATTAAAAGTCTTCATAGAGTAGAATCCAAGTCAAATTAGGATCCTGGAATTTTCTGGATTTCTGTAGAAACTTCGACGGAAGATTAGGGCTTGAAGATGGCAGAACTGGGCTTTGGACTTCAAAGCAAAGTTGTAGATCTCGAAATTAGCTTTCCAACGGCTACTCATGGGCTCAAAACGGACATCTGAGCAGAAAGTTATGGCCTTTCTACCAAGACTGCGCTGATTCCTAATCCAAATAGGAGTAGTTGCGGGAAATTACGGGATTTGGATATTTTCTTGGATATATGGGGCACAAATTGGGATTTTAACTCCAATTGTGAACTTATATGGGCTGTATATTATCCCATATAAAATATCCAAAAATCCTTAACTTCCGGGCTTCTTCTGGGCTTGGCTTCAATCCTTTGCAATTAAGCTCCAAATCTTCAATTCTTGCTTCTTGAAATAATTTTTCAATGGTCTTCAAATCTTCAAAATGTCTTCAAGAAATCTTCAAATACGAACTTCGAATCTTCAAATATTCATTCCAAATAGCTAAGTCCATAATTGAGTAAAAAGTGACCAAAATAGCTCCAAAAAGAGTGAAAAACAATAAGTTTTCACTTTTCTTGTCTTCAAGACCTAAAAACACAAATACTTGCAAAATATGGGTAAAATGCACATAAAAATAGCAAAAAGCATGGAAAAATAGCTATAAAAATAGGGGTAATTTAGGCTCGATCAAACATGAAGAACACAATGGAGATCATGGAGGGGATGATCAAGGATTGCAAAGAAGCATGGACAAGCTTAAAGGAGAGGAATGAATCGCAAGGTTTCATGAAGATGCCAATGGAATCGCACCAAAGATGCCATTAGGTGATGGAATCGCACCAAAGATGCCATTTGATCCTTTGAAGATGCCTTTAGGTCCGATGATAAGAGCAAGAGCTAAGAAGTTCAAAGATGCATTAACAAGCTTTGTTCGAACTCATCTTGAAGGCTTGAAGTCAATTGAAGATCAATTGGGAAGCATTGAAGTCGACATGATCAAGAATATTCCTAACGATTCCGAGCTTTGCACTTTACTTGAAATCGTTGAACCCTAGAGCTTACATTGTGTAATTCGGCCATATGGGCTTTAATTCTATCTTAGACTAGTTAATTATGTAGTTTAGACCTTGTTTAGGGTTGGGCCTTGTTCAATTAAGTCCAATCCTTAGCTATTTTTCTTATTGGTTGTAATTTAGGATAGTTTCTAGATGATTCTATGTGTAAACCGCCCTAGCCCCTTGCATTGAATGCATAGGTCGGTTTAAGGGGGTTCTTGCGCTACTTGGTGCCTATATAAGGCCACAAATAGCTCTTGTAAAAGTGAAGTTGAGTTGATTAATAAAGTTGAGGTTTATACAACCAAATTGATTATCTTAGCTTCATTGTTCTAGTTTGAGCAAACTTAGGGTTCTTCAATCTTGTAGAGTCCTAGCAAACAATTAGGTTGTGTGAGATTAATTGTTTGTGAATCTTGAGATCTTAGGTGTTCAATTGCAGGTCTAATTGAAGATTTAAGGCCGACGAACGAAGAGAATTGCTTAGGTGAAGATCATCGATTTTATTCATTTAGAAGAGTTGGTGTTTCAAGTCGACTTTGCTGGATATTCAAAGGGTAGATCTGAATCTAACACAACTAGATTCATATCAATTGGTAATCAGAGCATAGGTTGTCATCTTCAATCGGTAAATCTATCATTCTATCATCATTCATCAAGTTTTTCATCCATCTTATTCATTTTCTTGAAAAATAAAAAAAATCAGAAACTTCGAAAAATCATAGTGGATTCATCTTAACTCCGTTTGCTTTGAAATTTTAGATTTGAGGTCCTTTTAACTAGAAGTTATATAAAAAATATCAAAAAATAAAAAAAAATAAAAAAGATTTCGACCAGAAACTTGTGATTTTTGTTCTAGATTCGTTTGAGCTCAGAAAGCTTTGAAATTTGAGCTATAGACTTCTTTTAGTGTGATATTTCTGGGAAAAATATTGAAAAAAATCAAAAAGCTATGGTGTTATCGACTTTTTGCAGGAACTAGGGTTTTGAATTGGGAATTTGGGGATTAGGGTTTCTATTGTTCAATTGATTCAATTTGTTGCAATTAACCTTAATTGATTGTTTGATTGAGATCCTTGGGTTGCTTTTACTGTGAATTAAGGTTAAATTTGAAGAATTTCAGGTTAAAACCCTATTAGAGACAAGTGGTACAAAATTGGATTGAAGTGGTACTAGGGTTTTCTAATCGACTTGAATTGTTTGATTTGTGTTTGAATGGAGTTTTTGTGCAGCAATTTGGAGAAGGAAATTCGACACAAGAGGCCTGCATAAGTGGTTTGGTTTTGGTTTAGATCACTTTCCTTTGATTCATAAAAATTTTGCTACTAATTGTTTGTTCCTCAAGTAGGTCACGAGAAGAAAGGGGTTCTCTAACGAGTTGCTCTTATTAGGCCTATTAAAGCTAGTAAAAGGCATAATCTTGTGAGATCATTAAGAGAGTAGTGGACCGCCAATCCATAGGTTGAGTGTAAACACGAGAGCACAAAGGTATACACACACACACACTTGTGAGAAATTTTTACTACTAATCTTTGTTTTTGTGTAGGTACAATGGGAGACAAATTACAAGGAGGTGAGCAAGCCAATTTGGCTGCTATGTTGCAAACCCTAATGCAATGCATGGATACTATGAATACTAGGTTTGATGCTTTGGCTAATGATGTCCAACAAGTAAGAGAGGGACAAAATCAACAAGCTCAACCTCCTCAACAAAGAGGCAATGCCGCAAACAATGAAAGAGTTCAACCTCCACCGCCAAGACAAGTTGTTCCTAGAATAGATCCTATGGAGAGATTGAGGCAACAAGAGCTTGGGGGTCAAGCTTATAATGAGAATTTGCGACCTAGGAGGGGAGTTGAAAGAGAGGAGCCTAAAGACAACATCAAGTACAAAATCCCTAAATTCAATGGGAGAGGGTCACTGGCGGATTAGTTGGAGTAGGAGTCAAAATTGGACATGTATTTTGATTATCACCCCTATGCCGAATCTAAGAAGGTGCAAATTGCTAAATTGAAATTGAAAGCGGATTTTGCTAAATTGGAATCTGAATATAGGATTCAAGAAAAGGCTAAGAATGTTAGTTCTAGTGTGAATTACGTTGACAACAAATCTGTTTTGGTGGATAAGCATGCTAGTTCTAAGAAAGTTGTTAAAGAGTGTATGTTAGCTACTAAGAGTGAGATTAAAGAAGCTTTGAATGATAATTCTATTTTGATCTTGTTTTTGCTTAAAAATACACTTGCTGCTACTCACAACTTGGAAAGAGAGCTTCCAAGCAACATTGTTTCTCTTTTGAGTGATTATGTAGATGTGTTTCCTGAGGAAATTCCTAGTGGTTTACCGCCAATTAGAGGGATTGAACATCAAATTGACTTCATCCCTGGGGCGCAAATACCTAATAAGCCAGCTTATAGGATAAATCCTGAAGAAACAAAGGAGTTAGAGAAGCAAGTTGGAGAGCTACTACAAAAGGGTTTTGTGCGTGAAATCCTTTCTCCATGTGCAGTTCCTGTTTTGCTTGTTCCTAAGAATGATGGAACTTGGAGAATGTGTGTTGATTGTAGGGCAATAAACAACATAACGGTAAAGTATCGTCACCCTATTCCTAGATTAGATGATATGCTTGATGAATTGCATGGTGCTTGCTTATTTTCAAAGATTGATTTAAATAATGGCTATCATCAAATTCGCATGAAAGAGGGTGATGAATGGAAAACTACCTTTAAAACTAAGCTAGGGTTGTATGAATGGTTAGTTATGCCTTTTGGTTTGATTAATGCACCTAGTACTTTCATGAGGCTAATGAATCTGTTTTGAAAGCTTATATTGGCAAGTTTGTTGTTGTTTATTTTGATGATATACTTGCGTATAGCCGAAACCTAGATGATCATATTAAGCACTTACGTTGTGTGTTAGATGTACTTAGGGTTGAGAAGTTGTATGCTAACCTTAAGAAGTGCACCTTTTGCATAAACAAGCTTGTTTTTCTTGGTTTTGTGGTGTCATCTCAAGGTATAGAAGTTGATGAGGAGAAGATCAAGGCAATCAAAGAATGGCCAACACCCACCAACGTTGGTCAAGTGAGATCTTTCCATGGATTAGCCGGATTTTATTGGAGGTTTGTTAAGGACTTTAGCACCTTAGCCGCCCCTATTACAAGTGTGATGAAGAAGAATGCACCATTCAAGTGGGGAAAAGAACAACAAGAAGCATTTGAGACCTTGAAGGAAAAACTAACTAATGCTCCTTTGCTTGTTTTGCCTAACTTTAACAATACCTTTGAGATTGAATGTGATGCATCAGGGGTTAGAATTGGAGCTGTTTTAATGCAAGGTGGGAGGCCCGTAGCTTATTTTAGTGAGAAGTTGAATGGGGCTGCATTGAATTATCCAACCTATGACAAAGAGTTGTATGCTCTTGTGAGAACATTACAAACATGGCAACACTATCTTTGGCCTAAAGAGTTTGTGATTCACATCGATCATGAAAGCTTGAAGTATTTGAGAGGCCAACAAAAGTTGAAGAAACGACATGCTAAGTGGAGTGAGTTCATTGAGAGTTTTCCTTATGTAGTGCGTTACAAACAAGGTAAAAAGAATGTTGTAGCCGATGCTTTATCAAGGAGGTATGTCTTACTTTCAATGCTTGATTCTAAGTTTCTTGGATTTGAGTTTATTAAGGAATTGTATGCTAGTGATGTTTACTTTGGTGAAATCTTTAAAGCATGTGAAAATTCTGGATTTGGAAAGTATTATATGCATGATGGATTTTTGTTTAAAGAATCTAGATTGTGTGTGCCTTCTTGCTCATTGTGTTATGTTCTTGTGAGGAATCGCATGAAGGGGGGTTTAATGGGTCACTTTGGAGTTGATAGAACATATGAGATATTGCATGAACACTTCTTTTGGCCTAAGATGCGATATTATGTAGGAAAGCATGTTTCTAGTTGCATTGTTTGTTTGCAAGCTAAATCTACATCTAAACCTCATGGATTGTATACTCCTTTGCCTATTCCTTATGAACCATGGGCACACATTAGCATGGATTTTGTGTTAGAATTACCTCGTTCTAAGAGAGGTAAAAATTCTATCTTTGTGGTTGTTGATAGGTTTTCTAAGATGGCACACTTCATTGGATGCACTAAAACGGATGATGCCATTAATGTAGCTAATTTGTTCTTTAAAGAGATTGTTAGATTACATGGAATGCCTAAGACGATTGTGAGTGATAAAGATGCTAAGTTCTTAAGTCACTTTTGGAGGACATTATGGGCTAAGTTAGGTACAAAGTTGTTATTTTCAACTACTTGTCATCCTCAAACCGATGGCCAAACTGAAGTAGTTAATAGGACTTTGTCAACCTTGCTTAGGGCATTAATTAAGAAGAACTTAAGAATTTGGGAGGATTGTTTACCTCATGTTGAGTTTGCATACAATAGGAGCATACATAGTACTACTGGATATTCACCTTTTGAAACTGTGTATGGCTTTAATCTTTTAATCCCATTGGATTTGTTGAGTTTACCTTTGAGTGTGCAAGTCGATGGTGAAAGAAAGGCCGATTTTGTTAAGGATCTTCATGCTAAGGTTAGAGCTCAAATTGAGAAGAAAACACAACACTACATGAAGGTTGCTAACAAGGGGCGTAAAGAGGTCATCTTTGAACCTGGAGATTGGGTTTGGTTGCATCTAAGGAAGGAGAGATTCCCTGAAAAGAGAAAGTCTAAGCTCCTACCTCGTGGAGATGGTCCATTCCAAGTCTTGGAGAGGATCAACAACAATGCCTACAAGCTAGATCTTCCTAGTGAATATGGCAATGTAAGTGCTACTTTTAATGTTTTCAAACTTATCCTTGTTTGATAGTGATGCAGATTTGAGGACAAATCCTTTTCAAGGGAGAGGGGATGATGCGCCAAGGGCTTATCATGGACATGAAGAACAAAATGGAGATCATGTAGGGGATGATCAAGGATTGCAAGGAAGCATGGACAAGCTTAAAGGAGAGGATGGAATCGTAAGGTTTCATGAAGATGCCAATGGAATCGCACCAAAGATGCCATTAGGTGATGAAATCGCACCAAAGATGCCATTTGATCCTTTGAAGATGCCTTTAGGTCCGATGACAAGAGCAAGGGCTAAGAAGTTCAAAGATGCATTAACAAGCTTTGTTCGAACTCATCTTGAAGGCTTGAAGTCCATTGAAGATCAATTGGGAAGCATTGAAATCGACATGATCAAGAATATTCCCAACGATTCCAAGCTTTGCACTTTACTTGAAATCGTTGAACCTAGAGCGTACATTGTGTAATTCGGCCATATGGGCTTTAATTTTATCTTAGACTAGTTAATTATGTAGTTTAGACCTTGTTTAGGGTTGGGCCTTGTTCAATTAAGTCCTTAATTCTTAGCTATTTTTCTTATTAGTTGTAATTTAGGATAGTTTCTAGATGATTCTATGTGTAAACCGCCCTAGCCCCTTGCATTGAATGCATAGGTCGGTTTAAGGGGGTTCTTGCGCTATCTTGGTGCCTATATAAGGCCACCAATAGCTCTTGTAAAAGTGAAGTTGAGTTGATTATTAAAGTTGAGGTTTATACATCCAAATCGATTATCCTAGCTTCATTGTTCTAGTTAGGGTTCTTCAATCTTGTAGAGTCCTAGCAAACAATTAGGTTGTGTGAGCTTAATAGTTTGTGAATCTTGTGATCTTAGGTGTTCAATTGCAGGTCTAATTGAAGACTTAAGGCCGACGAACGAAGAGAATTGCTTAGGTGAAGATCATCGATTTTATTCATTTAGAAGAGTTGGTGTTTCAAGTCGGCTTTGGTGGATGTTCAAAGGGTAGATTTGAATCTAACACAACTAGATTCGTATCATACCCAAATCCCTCCATTTACGATTACTTCTTGGAAAAGTGGTACAATTTTCTTGAACCCACCATTGTGAATAAATTCCTTTATGCCAGGAACATGATAAACCAGGTCTTCATCGACAATGAACTTAACTGGTAATATGATTTTACAACCACCCCATGACGCCGTGAGTTCCCAATTTTTGTCATTTACAAACAATAAAACAAGGATTTCATCTTGCAATCCTAAACGAGAAAACGTCATTGAAACTATGTAGATAGTAGAAGTTTTCAAGAGTTATTATTTGATACACCGTCAGTGTAGTTTTTGGACTCCACAAGCGGGTTCAAAGGTTTGACAAGTACTCCATTTCAGAATTAATTAGATTTTTAAGAATTTCAATCTAGTACCTTAGGGGACACATGTCTCCCTTTTAGACCCGCAGGTGCAGTCTACTAAACTCCACTGACGGTGTATTGAATAATTTACCTTTCAAGAATTCAGACACAAAGTTTACATATCCAATTTTCAGTAATTGTTGATTCCACCAGTGGAGCCTTTCATGTCAAATTTAGTGATATAGTAGTTAACTTCTTCCTTCGACAACCAACAAGGCAACATAATTGGGGTGTCTGCTGACCGTTTCAACAGGTTGGCTTTGGGTAACATAAGTGGACCTGGAACTCTGTATGTTAAGATTTCCTTGACAACAATTGGGCTTGAAGCGTGTTCTAGCTGGTAGCTGCGCTCGCATCATTGGTTACCCCTTCAAGATTGACTTTGTCCTCAAGATCCAAGCTAGGATAGGTGCTGCACAACTCGATGGCGTAGAACACTCTTCGACTCTAGTATTGGAGAGATTTCACCCTTGTATTCCTTCAGCAAGGAGACATGGAAAACAGGATGAATCCTTGAGCTATCAGGCAAGGCAAGCTGATAGGCAACTAGTCCAATCTTTCTCAAAATACGATAAGGCCCAAAGTACTTATTGCCCAACTTCGAAGAAGGGTGACAGGATACTGAATGTTGTCGATATGGTTGAAGTTTGACAAACAGCCTCTTCAAAGTGTTTCTTTATGCGATGATGGTCAGCTTGCATCTTCTTCGATTTGGAACTCGAGCTAAATTGATTTCCTGGCGGGTGAGCGTTGTTTGGCGCTCAACCAAACATTCATCAACCTGAGCAATTTCGGTAAAGCCAGGCAAATAAGAAGATACGATTGGAGGGGGTTGTCCATAGACTGCCTCAAAAGGAGTCATTCCGATAGTTGAGTGAAAGGAGTTATTGTGATCATTCAGCACAATGTAAGACCTTGAACCATGTCTTTGGATTGATACGGGGTTAACTCAAATAGGCTAGAAATGAGTTGTTTTCACCAAGCCCGAACAAATAGTGTGCTTAAAGTGCTTAAAATGAGCACTTCAAATCCTAAGGGTAAGTGTTTGGATAGTGTTTAGGCTAACTAAGGATCAATTCAAAAGGAATTGATGAAATTATAAGCACACGGATTCAATCACTCAAGGATACAGATTTCACCACCAAGAGCTAGAATCGATCGAAACTCACCACCAAATGAACACTAATTGATACAGATTCACCACAAATAAAATTCAAAAGATGAACAAGTTTCTATTAATGCCAAATCAACAAGAGATACAGATTCACCACTCAAATTGATATAGGAAAGTTTGCAAGAACCTAGACAAGGTTACAAAGCAAAACAAAATGTTCAAAGTTCAAAATACAAGTCTAATTTGCTAAGGTGCTTATCCGTAGCTTATATACTAGGATTAGCACACTAAACACACTTACTTAAGCTAATTAAAAATGCTTAATTAAAACAGATTACAACTTAAACAAAATACAACCGAATTAGCTCAAATGAGCTCAAAATGAGTGTGAACTCAATTCGGATTGTAGGCAGCCAGTTTACTCTTCTCCATGCATGAAATCATGATGTTTCAACTTGACAATCAACTAGCTTCATCTTCTAACCATATGAGAGTACTTCACTGTAGGATTTTCCAAGCCAAAATAGTTGACTACAACGTGTCATTTGGTGGAAGGATAATCATCAACACTTGTCACACAAAGAGAGGTGCTTGCTTTCCACCTAGGCTCAATGTTGGAGAGGTGCTTGCTTGGCTCCACGTTGGCTTCTTGGTCCCACCTATGATGACATGGCACTAAAGCAAGCTGCTCACATGGCAAGGTGCTTGCTTCACTAAATGCAACAACATCACCCAAATCATCTTGTTGAAGAAAATGGGACACTCCCGTGTCATGGATGATCACTAGCAAAGCACCGTAAATATGTTTTAAGGCACCTATTCAGCACTTCCGATTGCCCATCAGTTTGAGGGTGGTAAGCACTACTTAGCTTGAATTGAGTCCCCTGAAGCTTAAATAACTCATGCCAAAAAGAGCTAATGAAAATAGGGTCTCGATCACGCACAATGGACCTATGAAGACCGTGAAGCTTTCCCATTTCTTTGAAAAATAGCTCAACAAGTTGAGAAGTAGTGATAACCACGAAGTGAAAGTATTTGGAAAGATGATCCACTACAACCCAGATAATGATTCAACCACCTGATAAAGGCAGGTGAGTAATAAAATCCATGGCAATATCTTGCAAAATGTGAGAAGGTATAGGCATGGCTGTAATAATCCTCCAGGCTAAGTAGGCAAATAGTTGACTTAATTATTGACATGTGCAGCAATTGGAGATAAACTCCGCAATAGATTTGCGCATTCCATGCGAAAAGAAATTTGTAGATAATTATCAAATTTAGCAAATTTAACAAATTATCAAATTATCAAATTTAGCAGATTTAACAATTATCAATTTTACGCCACTCTATTACTAGAGGTAAAATACCAATCAAGCTTCATTCAATAACCTAATTGAACATATTGGTCTAGGTTTCGAAGCGTACTTCAATTCCTAACATGCTAATTAGCTAATCTCACTCTGTTCAGCCCAAAGATTAACTCTTTTATTCCATATTTCTTCCAACGGTGAATGCAGGATCATCAAAGAATAAAGCATTAAGAAAATTCAATACTCACATGCATAAATAATTATAACCAAACTTATCTTCCTCTGTTACTGGTTGAGCTTCTAGATTTCGATAAGGTTTGATAAATCCCATTGTACCCATGGTTCGTGGTGTACAATCAGCATCGATTATTAGGTCTGACCGTTCAGTACTCGACCTAATAAAAGCTATAGATCAATCAAATTATCTCATTAGTGGCCACCTAAATCAATAAAATTAATGATCTTAATCATAATCACAACCATAATCAATCAAATATTACAATCACAATTATGATCTTCTTCACAGGGATTAATAAACATATTCAATCAAGAAAAATCACATCAAATTATAAGAACAAAAATCTCCCCATATCAATTAATTGAAATTATCAAAGGAAAAGAAGTATAAAGGATTAAACACTCATGAATTGAGTGAAATCCATAAAAACTAATAAAGAAATAGAAAACTTACAGAGGTCTCCACCCCTTGGGCGGCTGCGCAAGGAAGAAGAGAGAAAACGCAGCCTTCAAGAAAAGATTGTATCTAAGAAAAAAGAATAAGTTGTAGAGAATTCTTCTAAGGTTTCCACTTAAGTGGGTATATATAGGAGGCTACCTAGGGGTTAAAATTAGAGTCCTAACTGACTTAGGAGACTCCAAGGGTTGTGCTGGGCTTAGTATCATGTCTTCAAGTGGATCCAAACAACTTTGGTGGGCTAAGAATAGATAAAACTGAAGTATGGCCCAAAACTGCTACTATCCGAAATGTTCAAGGGCATTTTTGACCATCTTAACGCCAAAACTGGGCTTTGGGATCTTCAGCAAAGTTGTAGATCTTCGAGTTAGCTTTCAAACACATCTTGAATCATCGCATTGAAGCTCTGTAGAAAAAGTTATGAATTTTCTCCCAAAGTGTCGCTGAAATCGCAATCCATTGGAACAGCTTCAAGAGGAAGACTCAAAAGTTTAAACGCTGATTTTGGCAGCCCGACTGTCCCTGGGTGCCCAGCTGACATGCCCAGGTGCCTTGGTTGTAAGCCTAGCCGTCTAGCTCAACTGGAGAACCATCAAGATGTCGCGTCTTCTTCTTCTCTTGACTTGTGTTCTTGATCCTTTCACCTTGGAAACTTGTATCATTAATCTTCATAGCTTCCATAAGCATAAAGATAAGCTTCAAAGGGTCTTCAATCACGAACATAAAAGCTCCAAAATCTTCATGAAATTTCCACTTGAATATTTGTGTCATTACTCCATCAAAATAACTCCAAAAAGTAGGAAAAATAGTACTTTTGCACTTTTCTTGTCTTCAAGACCTATGATCACAAATATTAACAAAATAAGACATAATCAAGCTCAATCAAGCATTAATCCTCCTAAAAACATTAGAAAATGACCATAAAAATATGTCATATTTTGGTCTAATCATATTTCCCCCACACTTAGGCTTTGCTAGTCCCTAGCAAACTAGTATAGAAAACCTAACTAAAACAAAAAGTTAGTGCTAAACTAAACAAACAATGCAAGTACTGATTCCACTTTCGTAGGTGCACGACGACACTTAGCATGTGACGCAAGCCTTGAAAACTCTATATGTCTATAAAGGAGGTGTTATAGTCACCTGACACAAGTCATTTAGATGGACGAAAATCCCCCCCGAAGCCGCTGGACATAAGCAGTTTTGACCCGACTTGTGTTTTTTCCAAGTTAAGCCAATTTAGCTTACTTGGGCCGACCCAATGATGTAATCAACAACCCAAAATATCCCTAATGATCCCTAGGGTTAAATTAAGTTATTCTTAACTCTAATTTTAAGCTACGCAGCCACCTATATAAATATCAACTTTAGGTGATAGAAAACCTAAGCTAGTTTTACCTATTTTAAACTTACTCTTATTTTCTCTGTTTTTGCAGCAGCCTTTTACCTTTGGTTTTGTAAGTTTCTTATTTCTTTACGACTTTTATGGATTCCACTCAAGTCATGAGTGGCTAATTCATTTATACTTTCTTTCCTTTGACAATTTCAATCAATATCTTATAGAGAGACTTTTGTTCTTCATGATTTGATTTATCTATTGAATAATTATTTCAACTTGTAGACACCCGTTTTTGTCCTATATCCTTTAATTTGGGTCGAGTTAGCATTAGGGTCATCCAGGGGCATTTTGGTCATTTTCACATCTAGGGGGGCATTTTGGTCATTTTTGCATGTAGGGGGTATTTTGGTCATTCTTAATCTACTTTTAATTTATATTAGCTTGTTCATTTTAGTCATCTAGATTGCATTCGAAAAAACCGAAAAATCTTAATATGCACCTTGGCATTTTTGCATATTTTCATTTAGTAATTTAGTTGCATCTTCATTTAGCTTAGTATTGTTGCATTTTAATCATATAGTTTAAGCTCAATTGGTTCATTGATTAATTAACCCTTTAGCAATTAGTTAGACATTGCATAAGTTGGATTTGCATTTTTGTGTGCTTTTTCATTTCATTGGCATATTAGTAAAATCAATGATAAA